TCATATACTTTCAGATTCTGTAAAAAATTTAACTCTTTAGTCATTGCACCTTTCCACACTTTCTGATCTTCAATTGGGAATGTGGTTAATTCATTATATGTAGTCGGGACTCTATTTACTTGATAGACTGTTGTTGCTTGATATCTATCAGGTGGTCTCGTCACTCTATTCAACCTTCTTGGGAGTTCAGGACTTACAGATTGCCTTTCTTCCTGTACTAGGTCTTTTTCCACCTCTTCGCTCTGAGTATCAGGCATTTTATTGTTAGCTTCAATCTGGGTTTCAATAACTAACTCATTTTCAGTATTTAATTTATTCCACCCTACGTGTTCCATAAATTTGGCATTTGCACTGCTAACTATATTTGATGTCCCTTTTTGCCAAAATCTGTAGGATCTGTGATTGGAATTATAACCAACAAATATTAATTGTTGTGCCCTACTCTGGCCCTTACGCCTTAATTGCGTTGGAATATGTACCCATGCGGGTGATCCAAATGTGTGAATATAGCTCAAATCTGGCTTTCTTCCATGCCATACACTATATGGAATTTTATTAGTGGTTGTATTTATGATGTTATTTAAAATTGTATTTGCGCACATAATGGCTTCTCCCCATAAATTAGCTGGTAAACCTGCATCAGCTAACATAGATCTCATCATTGCTTGTAGAGTTTGTCCTCTCCTCTCCACATAAGAATTACGTTGTGGCCGATAAGGGGTCGAACATTTATGCTTTATACCAGCATTTTCTAACATTGATTTAAACTTTGTATTGACAAATTCAGTACCATTGTCAGTTACAATGGTAACTATTTTGTGGTTTGTTTTCCTTTCCACAAATTTAATCCATTGAGTAAAATATTGGTAAGTTTCTGCCTTTGTTCTCAATAGATAGCAAAAACCATACCTAGAATAATGATCAACTATACTGAGAATATAACAAGCACCCCCTAAACTAGCTTGCATTGGTCCTATTAAGTCAGCAAATACCACCTCCAGAGATCTTTTGGTTTTAAACCCATCAAACCTATTAGCAGGAATTGTACTACTTTTCTGCTCATTACAAACATTGCAATTTAAATACTGGTTACATGGTTTCAGCTTCAACCCATTAACTAATTTAACAGTTTGCTGTAACATTTTAAAGCTGATATGTCCCATTCGTCTGTGCAGTAGATGTATGCATTCATCATGCGGTTTGACATTAGAATATACAACATTTGTAACATGGTTACTAGATAGTACATATAAACCATCAATCAGTTTTCCAACAATTTTGGTTTTACCTTTTTCAATTAAACAATCATTTTGTCTAAACAATACTGTATATCCTAGCTTAACCAATAATCTAACTGAAATTAAATTGAAGTTTAGGTTTGGTACATATAACATATGGATTTGTTCCTTTACCTATGGACATATTGCCATTCCTTCACCACGTGCCTTTAGCTTCCAGACATTTGCTAAAGATACCTTATTAGTACTAGGCAACATTTTAACAAAATAGTTTGGTGTTCAGACAAGACATAACGACGCACCGCTATCAATAATCCACAAATCGTGGTTAATTGGTTTCTTACCAAACATAGTTACGTTACATTGTTGTTTATCTTTTATCTTACATTTAACCATGGTTTGTTTTTTTTGTTTTCTGCAAAACTTTGCTATATGACCCTTCTTTCCACAATTAAAACATTGTTTTACAGTATATACATGATTATTTGCTTTTACATTTACATTAGTTGACTCAGGTTCTTCTCTTAATTGTTTTCTTTCTTCTCTCCTTCTGGCCTCTTCTAATAATCGTGAAGTTACATGTGCCAAAGTTAGTTCATGTTGTGTGAGAACCTCGAATAATGTTACTATGTCATCGTAACTTTCATCTAGCGATGATAACAGTACACAAACTTGCTGCTGCTCAGAAAAAAACACTTCTTTTTGATGTAGCTCACTAAAAATAGTTTTTATGCAATTAATGTGTGTTAACATATCACCACCCTTAAGTAGCTTTGTACGAAACAATCTTCGTATAAGGTTAATTTGTGCTCCTACATTGTCACGAATATAAAGACGTTTCAAATTGTCCCAACATTTTGCAGCAGACTGTTCACCTTCAATATGAACAAGCTGTGTATCGTCTAGAGACAAACCAATAATACACATTGCATTTTCATTCTTCCTCTGGAACTCGGCTATCTTCCTGGCATCCTCGGCATTATCAGCATTCCAGGAGGTAACGTCTGGTGGATTCTGCACTACATCCCATAGCCCTTCCTTCCATAACAGGAGACTGCATTTATTGGACCAGGATTTGTAGTTGGAGCCATCCAGCCGGGTAACCAACGATAAATTGGGAACTTGACCTTGTGCCATCATCAACAGAATATTAAATACGTATCAGAACGTTTGGAGCAATTACAGTGTGTCGCAGCTTTCTTAATGCTGTAACTGGTAAATAAACTGTGCTTCTGGGCCCATAACCAGTGTTAAGGGTAAATTGCCCTCTGCAGAGCACAGCGGTATACCAGGCAGCGTTGCAACACAGATACTGCCAAACTCTGAACGTTTTAGTAAAAAGAATAGTCTTTACTGTGATAGTTCAAACAAAGCTTCTCGTAAACAAAGATAAAGCTTTCAATACAAAACATTGTTGCTTACATTTCTAGTTCCGTAACTCCGACACAATATCTCTCAGCAATAACATCACGAGTAGGAGTGAGCAGTATCAACAAAGCATAAGTGAGCGTGCAAAGAAAAAATGGGGAAGAGTGAAGAGTACTGCTGAGCTTACTGCCTTCCTTATATTTCCGTTTCAACCAATTACTCAATTAGTTACTTTACAGTAGTTAAAGTCATAGTACACATTTTTGATATATTGTCTACCCAACTGTAAGATACAGATCCAACAGTATATACAAGATCGCCTTCTGCCACCAGTAGCTTTCCACCGGCCAATACGCTCCCACAGAGAGGGACTCCTCAGGGTGCCGTCGGCCAAACAATGTCGACTGGCGACACCCAGGGGGAGAGCTTTCTCTGTGGGGGCACCTGCCCTCTGGAATGAACTGCCCCTGAAGGTTCGCATGATCCCCGACCTACGTACCTTTCGCCGTGCCCTTAAGACTCTTTTGTTCTAACAGGCCAGGCTGGCTTAGAAAATGAATTTTAAATTGGGTGTTTGTAGCTTTTAACATAAGGCCCAAATTTATATATTTATTTTAAATTGTTTTTAAATTTTGTGAGTATATGTTTGTTTTAATATGGCTGTACACAGCCCTGAGTCCTTCGGGAGAAGGGCGGTATAGAAATTTAATAAATACAAATACAAATACAAAGAGATCAACATCCTATATCAAGGTGTACATAATTATTAGGCAGCTTCTTTTCCTCAGGCAAAATGGGCCAAGAAAGAGATTTAACTGATTCTGAAAAGTCAAAAATTGTAAAAAGTCTTCAGAGGGAGGCAGCACTCTTGAAATTGCTAAGATATTGGAGTGTGACCACAGAACTATCAAATGTTTTGTTGCCAATAGTCAACAGGGTCACAAGAAATGTGTTGCCAAAGATTTGAGAAGAATCAAATGGGAAGCTACCAGGAATCCATTATTCTCCAGTGCTGTCATATTCCAGAACTGCAACCTATCTGGAGTGCCCAGAAGTACAAGCTGTTCAGTACTCAGAGACATGGCCAAGGCAATGAAGGCTGAAACCCAACCACCACTGAACAGGACACATAAGTTGAAATGGCAAGACTGGGCCAAGAAATATCTGAAGACAGATTTTTCAAAGGTTTTATGGATTGAGGAGATGAGAGTGACTCTTGACAGACCAGATGGATGGGCCTATGGCTGGATCAGTAATGGGCACAGAGCTCCACTTCAACTCAAGATGCCAGCAAGGTGGAGATGGAGTACTGGTATGGGCTGGTATTATTAAAGATAAGCTACTTGGACCTTCTCCGGTTGAAGATGGACTCAAAATCAACACCCAAACCTACTGCCAGTTTTTTAGAAGACACTCTTCAAGCAGTGGTATAGGAAAAAGTCTGCATCTTTGAAGAAAACTATGATTTTTATGCAGGACAATGCATCGCATGCATCGAAGTATCAACTGCGTGACTAGCCAGTAAAGGCCTTAAAAGATGAAAGAGTAATGACATGGCCCCCTTCCTCACCTGACCTAAACCCTATTGAGAACTTGTGGGCCCTTCTTAAATGGGAGATTTACAGTGGAGGAAAACAGTTCGCCCTTCTCTGAACAGTGTCTGGGAGGCTGTGGTTGCTGCTGCACAAAAAGTTGATCGTCAACAGATCAAGAAACCGACAGACTCCATGAATGGAACTCTTATGACTGTTCCTGAAAAGAAGGATGGCCACATTGGTCACTGATTTTTTTGTGTGAACTGTCGGAAATGTTTATTTGTTGATTTTGAGTTGTTTGTTTATTATTCTCAATTTAACAGATGCAAATAAAGAAGTGAAATGGGCAAATTTTCATTTTTCATTTAGTTGCATAATAATTCTGCACACTAATAGTTGTCCAATAATTGTGCACACATAGATATTCTCCTAAGAAAGCCAAAATCTCACTTTTACTTTCTTAAATATTCAAGTTTGAGGTTTATTAACATTTTGGATTGACTGAGAGCACTGTAATTATTCAATAATAACATTAATCCTCCAAAATACAACTTGCCTAATAATTTTGCACACAGTGTAGAAATTTGGTGTAAGTGTGGGCATTGGTCAATTTTTTTTTTATTACCATTATATTTTAAATCGTTGCTAAACAAGGTAGCTGCTAAGCAAAAAATGACTGTATTGAATTCTACTAATATAAAACTTAATTGTGTGGAATAAGGTCTAAAAGTGGTCTCTAAACCTAAAGAATAAGGAAGAACATATTGAATTATATTACTGTACAGAGAGTATATGATTTGATATAAGAGTAATCTCACTATAAAGTATAACTTAATTCATTCATTTTGACTTTTTAAAGCTCTTGATAAGTGGTTCAGAGCACTTCAATCAAAAACCAAAAAAAGGAATACAGCTTCTTCAGGAGAAAAATCTCTTGGCTACCCCAATGGATAACAATCAAGTGGCCAAATGGCTGAGAGAAAATCCTAAACTGGACAAGAAAATGATTGGGGAATTTGTGAGTGATCGAAAAAATGTCGATTTGCTGGATAGTTTTGTCAGGTGAGTAGAAATGTTTCTTAAATACACCAGAAGCAAGCTAAGAGAACCCTAGAATAGAGAATAATGGTTGGTTGATTTTCATACAATTATAAAATTGCAAAGGACTTAGGAAATAATTAGAAATTATGCTTGCTGTGCTATTTGATGGGTATGTATGTTTGTATGTACTGCATGTATGTATGTATTTTGGAACTTGCCAATTTACCTTCTGTGAAATAGAACAGCTGTTCATTCTAAAATAATATTTATTTATTTATTTATTTTTAAATTTATATACCGCCCTTCTCCCTGAGGACTCAGGGCGGTGTACAGCCAGAATTAAAAAACATGAAATACAAATATTAAAAACAATTAAAATATATATAAATTTGGCCCAAAATTAAAAATTAAAACATTTAACCAATTAAACCAATTTAACCAATTAAAACATTTAAAATTTCTTCTTAAACCAGCCCGGCTTGCTGGAAAAAGTGGGTTTTAAGGGCACGGCGGAAGGCACTAAGGTCTTGGATTCTCCTTATCTCTGGGGGCAACTGATTCCAGAGGGTAGGTGCCCCCACAGAGAAGGCCCTCCCCCTGGGGGTCACCAGCCTATATTGATTGGCTGATGGCACCCTGAGGAGGCCCTCTCTGTGGGAGCGCACGGGACGATGGGAGGTCGTCGGTAGCATCAGGCGGTCTCGAAGATAGCTAGGCCCGATGCCATGGAGCGCTTTAAAGGTGATAACTAACACCTTGAAGCGCACCCGGAAGACCACTGGGAGCCAGTGCAGCTCGTGCAGGAGCGGTGTTACATGGGAGAGCCATGCTGCTCCCATCACTACCCGCGCTGCTGCATTCTGGACCAGTTGGAGCCTCCGGGTGCTCTTCAAGGGGAGCCCCATGTAGAGAGCGTTGCAGTAGTCAAGGCGAGAGGTGACGAGGGCATGAGTGACTGTGCGCAGGGAATCCCGATCAAGAAAGGGCCGCAACTGGCGAATCAGGCGAACCTGACAAAAGGTCCCCCTAGTTACAGCTGTCAGATGTTCCTCCAAGGACAGCTGCATATCCAGGAGGATTCCCAGATTGCGAGCCCTTTCTGTGGGGGCCAAAGACTTGCCCCCAATAGTCAGTGATGGAGTCAACTGACTATATCGGGATGCCGGGAGCCACAGCCACTCAACCTGTTCCTCCCCATCCAGATCCACACGGCCTCCAGGCACTGGTACATCACTTCAAGGGCATCATTGGGGTGGCCTGGGGTGGAGATGTACAGCTGGGTGTCATCAGCGTACTGGTGGTATCTCACCCTGAAGCCACGGATGATCTCGCCCAGCGGCTTTACATAAATGTTGAACAGAAGGGGCGAGAGGACCGATCCCTGCGGCACTCCACAGATGAGAGGCCTCAAGGTCGACCTCTGCCGACCTCTATACTTTGTTTATTGCTAGATTATTTATATTTTACTTTACTCTTGAGACCTTGTTGAGGGTAAAATTTCCCTCTGCATAGTAGGCAACAGACCGGACAGCAAAGAGATACGTTGCTGGTTAAACACACAGATACTCACAGACTCTGAACGGTGAAAAAAAAAACATTCTTTACTCTTAGTGAAAAAACAAACTTGGTTTCTCAAAACAATGATAACACGTCTTCGAATAATCACTCTCCAACACAAAACATAGTTTGCTTATAGTTCTCTTCAGTCACACACAGTCCCTCTTCAGGAGATCAATCATCAAATAGCAGGAGCAGCAGCTCCCGGGCTTCCTGTCTACTTTTATGGCTGCCTGATAATAGCACAGCCAATCATTCTTCTTATATCATTTAAAGTCACAAACATAGTTTTTCTATATATTACCTACCCAACCGTAGGATGAATATCCAACATTCTCCCCTTTGGGTAGCTTAATATATTTACAATCTCAAACCATATTGTTCACATGTATTTTTATGTTTCCTACTTCCTTGTACTTTCGTGAAATGTTCAGCCACATTGTCTTCCGATGCACAGTATACAAGTTCTATCATCTTGTTCATTATACATTCTCTTACATTTAGATACCAAAGATCTGTATGCTTCATTCTAGTTTTCACAGCTATATTCGTCGCCATTTGAATCACTGCCTGATTATCTTCGTATACTGTTATAGGATCTCTTATATTTATTCCTATATCTAGCATCAGTTGCTTAATACTAATCAGATCAGTACATAATAAAGATAAACAAGAAAATTCTACCTCCATTGTAGACATACTCAAATGCTTCTGTCTAATTGAACACCACCATATCAAAGACTTTCCCAGAAATATAGCGATTTCTGAGGTTGATTTCCTTGTATTCACATCTGTTGCGAAACTAGCATCCGCATAAACAATTACAGGTAAATCTTCTGATGGTTGTAGATATAATGCATGATGCATGGTATATTTCAAATACCTTAGGATACGTTTTGCTCCCTGCCAGTGTCTTTCTGTAGGTTCCTTGTTAAACCTAGCCAATTGGTTAACACTATAAGAAATATCGGGCCTAGACCAATTGCTGATATATGATAAGCTGCCAACCAGCAATTGGTAAATCTCTTTATCAAACAACGGACTGTTTACATCAGTGTTACAATAGTCTTGAACCATAGGTGTCTTTGATGGTTTACATAACTCCATCCTGAATTGTTTTAATAAATTATTGATTTTATCAGTTTGAGATAATTTAAATCCTCCCCTGGTTTTTTCAATTCGTAAACCCAGGTATTGTTGTATCTCCCCTAGATTTTTAATTCTGAAATGAGTTTTTAATTGATCAACAATCCTGCTGGTCTCTTGTTCGTTTTCTGTAATCAAAGCTATGTTGTCAGTAAAAAGAAGTAATAACGACACTTTACCATCCCTCTCCATTCTAAATAAACATGGATCTGCTAAGCCTGCTTTGAATCCAATCTTCTCTAATGTTTTTACAATACACTGGTTCCATTCGTACCCTGACTGTTTTAACCCATAAAGGCTTTTCCTTAATAACCAACAGTCAGATGTCCCATTCTCCTCTAATCCTGAGGGTTTCTTTCAATAGTTTTCGTGCTGTAGTGGTGCATGTAGGTATGCAGTCTCTACGTCCAAATGATTTAACTATATATTTATATCTAGCTGCCCATACCAACGCTGCTCTTAGTGTAATGGCTTTTAAATTTGGAACGAATACCTCATCATAATCTTCAGGAGATTGATTAAATCCTTGAGCTACCAGCCTAGCCTTATATATTGGTTCACTCTTTATACCAGTCTTTAATTTATATATCCACTTACTACCGAGTATAGTTCTACCTTGTGGTATTTTTACAGTTTCATACACATTGGTGTATGGCATGGTGCGAGAAGGGGGTTGAGGGGTTTTTTAGCTAAATTTTTAACCAAAATTTTAAGGGGACCGGGAGGAAGGGAGGGGGTTGTAAAAGTGGACCCGGGGGGGTTCAGATAGCAACTGAGCGGGGTGATGGGTCGATTGGCTGCAACAGAGGGGTCGTGAAAGGAAATTTAACCGGGGAGCAGGGGGACGATAGGAAGGGCTGTGTAATTGAAACAATGAGTGGGAGGGGCAGGTATGACGGGCGCAGGGGGCCATATCATGTGCTGGGGGTGCGCACACGCTGTTTACAAGTAATTACGCACCCCGGCCCCCAATGCGCGACTCGTGTCCTGGGTTGTGCAGAGTCTCAGGCCCAGGGTCCGCGGCTGATGTTGTGTAATGCCAGGTCGGTTGTTAATAAAGCCCCCCTCATTTGTGATCTTATTTTAGAGGGGGGTGCGGACCTGGCAGGTATTACGGAGACCTGGTTGGGCCAAGAGGGGGGGGTCCCCCTCGTTGAAATGTGCCCACCAGGTTTCTGTGCATTTCATCAGCCAAGGGCCCAGGGGAGGGGTGGGGGAGTGGCGGTGATTATTAGGGAGAGTCTTTGTCCGAGGGAGACCACTGTTCCTCAGATAGCCGGATGTGAGTCCCTCTTTGTGAAGTGGGGCCGTGGGGTGCAGATGGGTTTGCTGACTGCGTACCTGGCTCCCTGCCACGTGGCAGCGACCCTGCCCGAGCTACTCGACGTCATTGCCGGGGTGGCGGTTGACACCCCCAGACTTATTGTCATGGGGGATTTCAACCTTCCGTCTGCGGGTGAGGCGTCAGAGGCGGCTCGGGAGTTCATGGCTTCCATGACGGCCATGGACCTGACCCAGTTAGTTCAAGGCCCGACTCACATAGGGGGACACACTCTGGACCTGATTTTTGTCTCTGGTCAGTGGTTGAATGATCTTGGTAGAGGGGACCTAGACATCAAACCCTTGTCATGGACAGATCATTCGCTCCTTCACTTGGACTTTCCTACCGCTTTCCCCCGCCGCAGGGAGACGGAACCGACCAAATGGTTCCGTCCCAGGCGCCTGATGGACCCCGAAAGGTTCCTGACGGAGCTTGGGCCGTTTCCTGAGACTCTGGCACACGACTCGACTGAAGAGCTGGTGGCCGCCTGGGAGAGTGCGGCCACCGGAGCTTTGGACCGCGTCGTGCCTTTGCGGCCTCTGACCCGATGCCGATCTCAATTGGCTCCTTGGTTCTCTGAGGAGCTGAGAGAGATGAAGCGTCGGAAAAGACGCCTAGAGAGCATTTGGAGGACTAGTCAATCTGATTCCGACCGGACACAGGTGAGGTCTTATATCAAGACCTACCTAGTGGCGATAAAAGCGGCGAAATCTAACCATTTTTCCGCTCTTATCGCATCTGCAGAGAACCGCCCAGCCGCCCTGTTTAGGGTGACCCACTCCCTTCTTCGGGGGGGAGTGCGGGAAGATCCCTTGCAAGGCCGCGCTGAGGATTTTGTGCAATTCCTGCATGATAAAGTCGCTCGGATTCGGGGTGGCTTGGACTCCGATTGGATGAGTCCAGGGGAGGAGACAGGGGCAGGCCTTGAGAATATTATCTGGGAAGAGTTTGATCCTGTGGCTCCCGAGGATGTGGACAGGGTTCTGGGTAGGATTAGTGCCGCCACATGTTTATTG